AAGCCTTTCACTCAAATAATCAATACATATATAATTCCCTTCCGTGAACAATAAGAACAACATGAAAAAGCACTTCAGTCAATAAAGAATTTTCTTTTTTTAAAATAAAAATAAAACAGAATAAAAGATGTAGAATATGTATTATGTATCTGATTTACATAAGGTAATCATTGTTAAGAGGATGTTGGTACTCTTTACGATCATTACATGAATACACAAAAATGTGAATCTTATTATGCGTTGTATATATATATATATATATATGTATATATGCATATACTACTACTATCAGTATTAACAGAAGTAGTATTATCTAAAAAATAAAAATGCTAAATAAACTATTTGTGTACATACATAAATATATATAATTGATTGCAATTAGTGATCATAAAATTATTGTATACACAATTGACAACAATACTAGTTCTTTGTGTTATATTCACTGAATAATACGTGTAAATAGATAGAATTGCTGATGGATGAATCATGGAAGTTTTTGTTATCGAAGTAAAGTGACATTGAATATTGATTGATGATAATTAGTTGTTCTATCATTATTATTATTATTATTATTATTACTATTATGATGATGATGATGATCAATGCTTATCGCTCTACTACTATTCACATCGTTATTTAAAATGTCAACTGAATCTAACTCATTATTATTATTATTATAAGTTGAATTGTACAAATTTGACAAATTTTCTAATTGTTCGATGAATTGTTGATTATTGAACGTTGAATTCATGATCAAATTCAATGTAGAATGAGTCGTAGAAGGAGAAGTAACAGAAATTGAAGCAATATTAGTTAAATTGACAAGTGTTGTAGTTTGTGTTAAGGTTGTTGTTGTCGGTGTTGACGTTGGTGTTGTCGGTGTTGTTGCAGTTTCAGTTGCAGAACGTATTATATAAGCAAATATTAAACCCAATATAGTCAATATAGCACCCATTGTAACAAAACGAGCTAAACGATGATTTTCAATCAGATTTGTATATGCTTCATCATCTGAATTGGTACAACATGTACAACACAGTAAATCTACTAGAATTGATCGATCAACTGGATTTGTTGTTGTCGGTGTTGTTGTCGGTGTCAGTTGTGATGATGGTTGTAGAATTGTATTACTACTATTATTATTAGTAGTAGTAGTTGTAGTATTATTATTACTATTTAGATTGGTCAACTTGTTCTGATGCATATTAGACAATGTATCCATTGAACCACCAGTTCTATGCTGATTTTGATTGCCACTTAATAGTGTACTGAAAAAACTATGTTCCATTAAACGTTGACTTGAAATACTACTTCGTATACCGCCGATCTTATTACTATTACTATTACTACCACTATTACTATTATGATGATTATTATTATCAAAACTTAGGCCTTTATGATGCAAAAAATTTGCTCGGGCAGATTTTGTATGAATTTCTGTATTAGAATTACCATTATAATTATTTGTACTAAGTTTAGAAGGGATTTGTTTAAATGGTTGATCAGATGATAAAAATTTGGTATTTTTTCGCTGATAATAATTAGACGGTGAATAATATTCATCATTTGAAAAATAATCAAATGATGTCGGTTCTTGTGCTGTTGTTGTTGATGTTGTTGTTGGTAGTGGTGTAAAGCCTAAATTATTACTAATCTGTGAAAAAATCATTGCAAGTGATTTACGTGGATTAGTTAGAATGGAAGAACTTCGTTGTTTTTCAATTGATTTCAATGGTTGAATCGGTAGCCAATATTGTGGTTGTTGATGTTGTAACTGGAAAATTGGTTCTTCACAATCCATTAAATTTGATTGTGATAATCGAGTATTGAGAGGTTGTTCACTGGTTGACTGATCATGATTTGTATTGTGCTCTTTATTATTTATCTCATTATTTACATTAGATTTGTTGTTGGGAATATTTTCATGAATATAATATTCCTTGTTAGCAGCTATTCGATCATATTCAATATTCTGAAATGTTCATTGAAAACAAAAAATAAATCAATATGAGAAAAAGTGTCTGTTTGACAATTCAGAACATAACATAATCAACAATTTCTTGAGTAAATTGATTTGTCAATAACTAATTACCATCTGAATTATTTTCATCTTAAATGAGTATTATAAGTTCGTCATTTAGTCGATAAACGCGAATGAGACTTTTACTCGCGTCCATGTAGGCTACTTTGAATCCCCGAAGCGAGTAAAAAAAGACTTTATAAGCGTAGAAAGTATATTCTACAAACACCTAGCAATCACACAATACAATCAAGCTTACAACTCTCGTTTATTTATTTATTTAAACGCCCTTGGGACAGTTACGAAAATAGCACACTCAAAAACACAGCAGACAATCACAGTCATGGATTTTCCTGGTGGGAATTGAAATCTGAAGGTCAACTGATCAGCCCATGCTGGCAAACGTGAAAACCAAATAATAAGGCATTTATCAAGCGAATTTCGGGGATCTAACATCCACAACAGAGTAACATTGATTTGAGAAATACCTGAGAATACTTGGAAGTTGAGATTCACGATCTAAGTTGATGTTTGATTATATGTGAGCTTGTATTTTTGCTGTCCATACCAAGAGATGAACGCAATTAATCTATGAACAACACCTAGATTCGATGTTATGACATCTTGATTTAAATCTCACTGGGTTGATATGATGATGAGACTTGTTTCGGAAAATATCACAACTCGCCGCTATCTAAAATATATATATTCAATCTTATTTTAAAGCATTTTCATTACATATCGTATTGCATTGCTCGTATATCCTGGGACACCCGAGTGAGCAACGCTGTTATTAGGAATCGGGTGCATGGTAAGAATGGCAGATCAATAGATGAAGTGGTGAAACTTCATCAGTTGAGGTGGTTTGGACATGTGTTGCGTATGTCTATTCACCGACTGCCTCGAAGAGCTTTGTTTTGTGGTGTAGGAATAGGTTGGAAGAAAGTTAGGGGTGGCCAAACCAAAACATGGCAGAAATCAATGAAATCACTGACGAGTGGACTGAGCCATGCCGGTAATTGTCGACTACATGGTTGGAGTCCGCGAGATGATAATCATCGATGGTTAGAGACCTTGAATGACATGGCTGAAAATCGTTTGCAATGGCGCCGGTGGATTTATTCTTTGTGTTCTCTCAAATCCTAATATTCTGTATTATTCAACACCTCTAGTTTTTACTTTCTACAATTTTCTCACTGAATCATACTTCTTGAATATCTTTTAATCCTAACCTCTCCGATTACTACTCTACTACCTCTTCTACTATTGGATTTGAATTGACAATTACATCTGTGTTCTGATGTGGTATGGCAACATGAACTGATGTACTTACATACGAAGTTCTACTGTGCATCTGACTGACTGACTGACATCTTACTGATAACTCTCTTACTGAGACGACTTACAACCTCTTCATTCAACACTTCAATATCGTTGGCCAAATGAAAAAAAAAAGACCGAATGAAATAACACACTTACCTTTTGTAATGATGACTGTTTTGAATTCTCTAAACTTTTCGATTGATCATGTTTCTCCCCTACTTCCGCATCCAACTTGTAATTCTCATCATCCTCATCCTCATCCTCATCATCGTCTGTGATGACACCCCAACCAGGAAATCGATCAGACAAACTTAACTTTAGTTTATTTTCATGTTTTGTTTCATTTTTGATAAATTTGATTTTATTGTCAGTTTCATGGGCAGATTGTTTATTTTGAATGCTAAGTAAATCAACTTTCTTACTATCATTATTATCGTCCCTGTTAGTAGTAGTAGTAGTAGTATTAGTAGTATTAGTAGTAGTAATAGTAGTCGTAATCTGTTTGTTAATTGGTTCAATAAAAGCAACTCTTGGTTTTAATTGTTTATTTGGCATCTCATTTACTATGACATGTTCCGTTGAAGGATGACTAATTGAAGTCATTGTGGAATAGGATACTTTTGGTGTATCAGTTGATTTTTTCATTGATTCATTCGGTGATATTGTGTCGAATGTTGATTCTATTGTTTTATGTGATGATGAAACGATTAATTTTTCTAATGATGAACATTTGTCATTATTAGTAGTATTTATGTGATGATTAGTGGTAGTAGTCGTAGTAGTAGTATTAGTAGTATAAAAGTTATCATTATTGAAACTCTTATATGCATTTTGTACATTATTAAATTGTGAAATATTTGTGCATTTAAAGTTTGAATATTGATTCGGTGTGATTATTGATTCTTGAATGGATAATAGGGATGGTGATGAACAACTACTATCCTGTTTAATATTGATTTGTTTGTGTGGCACTGACGTGGATGTTGATGTGTAATGTTGTTGTTGCTGCTGCTGCTGATGATGATGATGATAGTCAAGAGGATGATGATATTGACGGTGATGATATTGATGATGATATTGATTTATTGAAGGCGGTGGAGGAACACGTACAGACGAGGGTGGTTTGGCACGTATTGGCGAATCCAAAGCAGAAAAAGGAAGTTTGACACCAAGCTGAATAAATGAGAAATAAAGAAAAGTTTTTGAGTGAGCTTAACATGATCAAAAGATACACTTATCAAACAGTATTAAACAACCTAATCTAATCATCTGCTTTCCTATGATCACTGATTGCTGATAATCAGTGTGACAAATCAATCCAGATCTTTATATTCGATTTACCTGATTAACTAACAATGAGAAACTAACATAAAAAACGACATCAATGAATTCTAATGTGTAGCCAATGTGTGTTCAACAGAATTCGATCAACACAAGGCCACACTGATAAACACATATCACATGTTGAATCAATAACTAACCAACCGGTAGCATTTTCCTTTAGGAAGTTATATTGAATAAAGATTTTGTTTATTACAGTATTAATAGGCATTTTAATACTGAATTATATAGTCAGTCAGTTGCAACGTAGAACTTCGTACGTATGTACATAAGTTCATGTTGCTGCCATACCACATTAGCACAAAGACGCAGATGTGAAATCAAATCCCATAGTGATAAAGATAGAAGAACTATTAATGGTAATGAAGAAGACTAGGGTTTGAAGATATTATTCAAGAAGTATAATTAGGCGAAATAAGATCAGAAAGACAAAGGAAAGGTGCTGACGAATCCAGAAGGTTAGGATTTGAGAGAGCTCAAAGGATGGATGCACTTGCGCCATTGCAAACGATTTCGAGCCATGTCATTCAAGGTCTCTAACCATCGGTGACTTTCGTCTCGCAGACCCCAACCAGGTAGTCTACATCGACCAACATGACTCAGTCCACTTGTCAGTAACTTCATGGATTCCTGCCATGTTTTGGTCTCGCCGCCCCTAACTTTCTTCCAACCTATTCCTACATCGTAAAACGTAGTTCGACAAGGCAATCGGTGGTTAGGCATACGTAACACATGTCCCAACCACCTCAACTGATGAAGTTTCACCACTGAATTATATAATTTATATGATAATAAAAATAAAAGTTTGCATAATGTTTACAATTGTTCAATGCTTTCTGGGTTTTTCTTTGATAGTTTGACTCAGATCGATCAATGCAAGTTAATAGTTCAATTTTCAATGTTATTTTAGTTTCACGTGTTTTTTTTTTTAAATCTTGTATGCATTTTAGTTCATAGATACTCTCTTGTTATGAAAGTGTTAGAAGCTTATGTGCCTGAATGAAAGCAAACTAAATCAAAAGTTGGATAAGTCATGAAGCATCTAATGAAACAATGTTTCATCTTCTTAAATGAATTAGTTTTTCAATGAGTTTATATGCTTTTTTACTAATCTCTTAAAAATAACCTTATCCTCGTGTGAATTTTCAGGAGTAGAACCTATTACCAGGAGGCTCGTTTATCGACTTAGAATATGCCGATGACATAGTCCTACTTGGTGAAGACGCTGACAAAATGCAGAGTCTTCTGACTACCCTAAGAAACAATGCAAGCATGTTCGGGATGCGGTCCTCACCCTCAAAATGCAAAATGTAGCTTCAAGATTGGGTTGCATCGGCACCTGAACTAGTGATAGGGAGTGAAGTAGTCGAACGTGCAGACCGCTTAACTTATCTTGGGAGTCTCATCAGCACTGATGGCTTGGTGACTGACGAAATCTCAGCCCGGTTACAGAAGGCTCGATTGGCTTTTGCCAACCTGCGTCACTTATGGCGTAGGCGAGATATCCGTTTGCTGACTAAAGGACGAGTGTACTGTGCAGCAGTTCGCTCCGTCCTACTGTACGGATGCGAGACTTAACCGTTAAGATTAGATATTCGTAGGTTACTAGTCTTCGATCATCTATGTCTCCGAAGCATTGCCGGTATATAGTGGGATACCCGAGTGAGCAACGCTGTTATTAGGAAACGGGTGCTAGGTAAGAATGGCAGATCAATAGATGAAGTGCTGAAACTTCATCAGTTGAGGTGGTTGGGACATGTGTTACGTATGCCTATCCACCGACTGCTTCGACGAGCTATGTTTTGTGGTGTAGCAGTAGATTGGAAGAAAGTTAGGGGTGGCCAGACCAAAACATAGCACAAATCCATGAAGTCATTGACAAGTGGACTGAGTCATGTTGGCAGATGTAGGCTACCTGGTTAGGGTCCGCGAGACGAAAGTCACCAGTGGTTAGAGACCTTGAATGACATGGCTCAGAATCGTTTGCAATGGTACAGGTGATCCGCTCTTTGTGTTCTCTCAAATTCTAACCTTCCGAACTCCTCATAATCTCTACCTTTCTCCTTCTAAATTTATCTTACTGAATTATAGTTCTCGAATCATATCTCCGCTCCCTAATCTTCTCCATTACTGCTAGTACTTCTACTATCGCTATCACTCTTGGATTTGAACTGACAGTTGCGTCTCTGTGCTAATGTGGTATGGCAACCTGAACTGATGTACTTACGTACGAAGTTCTGTGTTGTATCTGTCTGTCTGTCTTACTAATTTAATATTTTTTTTAGAAAAGAGCTAAGGAAAAACTTCTCTAGTTCAATTGATTATAGAATTTTTTTAAAGAAATAGCCTAATGTATTCCATAAAGTTATATAATTCAGTTAAATTATTCTTTATAGACTTTAGACAAAATGTTTATGTAGGATCAAAACTACGGTTTGGATTGGGAGATAATTGTCCAGGTAGCTTAGATACGCGTCTTGACCCACATTGAATCCAAAACAAGTGATTTTGGATAAATGACGGTTCTAATATTCATCATAAATATAAATATACACATCATTACCTAAACAAATATTACCACTTAGTTATTCCTTCAACAATTGTTCAATTAATCAAATCAACAACAGCAACAAGTAAATGTTATTCTATCCCTCCTGGATAGATCAGATTCCTTCGGAAGCTAATATTTGGTTGATTTATGACACAGAGTGCTTCCATTCACAATCTAAATGTACAATTCCAGTGAGTACAAGCAATACAATCATTATGACTGTGGCCATGACTAAGGATGTAGTGAACGAGAACACAGGTGAGGGAAACCGAATTGTATTCAACGAAAATTACAGTTACTCAGTAAAATTGGAAAACCATATCGTAAATCGTTCATTTGCAAGTTATCAGTCCATCCTATCGAACTGGACTGTTCCTGTTGCAAAACATCAATCCATTGTCACTATTCATGCGTTTCATACAAATTCCATTGTGTTCTTCTAACTCTTCCTTTCTTGATCTTCCCCCATCTTCTAATGCCAGACATTACGTTTACACTCACGTAATATACTACTTATAAGTAGCTCACACCACAAGGGTATCAGCTTAAATGTTGGGGATGTTAGATCCCCAAAACTCGCTTGATAAATGCCTTAGTTTTTGGATTTCACGTCTGCCAGCATGGGCTGATCAGTTGACCTTGAGATTTCAATTCTCACCAGGAAAATCTATCTATGGCTGTGATTGGCTGCTGTGTATTTGAATGTGCTATTTTCTTAACTGTCTCAAGGACTTTTCTATGTTGTATAAATAAACGAGAGTTGTAAGCTTGATTGTATTGTGTGATTGCTGGGTGTTTGTAGAATATACTTTCTACGCTTACAAGGCCTTTTTACTTCAGCTTGGGATTCAAGGTAGCCTACCTGGACGCTGGTAAAAGTCTCGTTCGCGTTTATCGATTAAGGTAAACTCGTAATAGCCTCAAGCATACTTAGTGACGAGCGTAACATTAAACAACATAAATACACTTCAGAAAGCAACACATAGAAACTCAGTATAGGCAAAAGAAATCGAAATCATAATAATAAAATACAAATATTATCAACAAATTAACAAAATATACAACTGAAGGAATCAATAAGGACCTATTACAAATGTATGCATGGAGAGATTTTCACAAACAAAGCCTTCAAAAATGAATCTTACACAATAGGTACATGGAATCTGAGTAGAAAAGACAATGAAAAGAATAAATGGCTATTGGAAAGAAGTAGGAAAGAAGGTACAGGATATAGTTGGCTGGAGAATCCTAGTTCATACAAGTTAGCCCATGTAATCAACTAAGCTTAAAGTAAGTACATGTACTGTATAATCTGCACTCTTCCATGCTCCTTACACCTCGACTCTGCACAGAAGCATCGTACAATCTATTCTTAACTGGAAGCAACTACAAGTATTTTGTGATCCAAATAATCGAACTAATCAGTTGTTCCTCGTATTCCAAATTTACGCCTAATGGATCAATCACATATATATATAAACTAAAATGAATCTCAGAAAACAACTACCTTGTTAAAGACATCCTGTTGTTACACTTTCCATTTTTTGATAAAATACATTTTACCCTATTGATCGATTCTACTTGTATAATTATTGAAAAAAAACAAAGGAAAAAGTATTTTTTTTTACATATTAAAATAAGAATCAGACTAATTTTGTATAGATTTTTAGTAATTTTAGAAAATCTATCTATATTTCAGCCTAACGGAACAGAACAGAACAGTCAGTCTAATTTCAAGTTTAAAAGAGTTTGTATGAATATCAATAAATAATATAAATAAATAGAGTTTTCATTGGAAACAAAGAAGAAAAAAAAGAAAAGTTGTGTCTAGTAGTTTAAGTAATCAATTGAAATTTTCATCACTTGCTAGTACCAAATTTTGTAGTGTGTGTTGGTGGTGGTGTTTGGTTCTCTGAGCTGGGGGAAGTTTTGGTTGTGGAGTTTTCAAAATTGTTCTTCTTCTTCACAACCAATCATCCAATTGAGGAACAAATTTTCTACACCATCTCACAATTTTGTATAAAATAGATTTGCATTACGGGGTTGTGAAGATTGTTAAGTTACACACTTTTTTTGAAACCATGAATCGATCAATGTTAGACCAACACCATTAGAAACCTGGAAGAAGCACTGACAGACGGCCGTTTCGTCCTGGTTTGGGACTCCTACAATACCGAAGGTCCTGGGTTCGAATCCTGCGGGATGCAGGAGTCGTGGATGCGCACTGCTGAGGAGTCCCATACCAGGACGAAACTGCCACTGTCCAGTGCTTCCAGGATTC